TGAAGCCTATTACTTAAAAGACACAGCACTTTATACTTCTCTTCTTCTATCTCCAAATTCAAGAGAATTTAAAGGTATTTCATATTACCACTTACATATAAATATGAACCCTGCACATACAGAACATGGAGTGACAGTAAGTTCCCTACTCCTCTTCCCCGCAAAGACCACTGGCTACATTTGTCTTCTGCGTGTGTGATATTCTTCCAAAGATATTCTCTGTGTGAGTATGCGTGTGCATATATCTAAGTTATTGTAAATGAGTGCTTTTAGCTTGTATAATGGAAAGGTGACTTAAAAAGCATGACATTGTTTAAACGTTTTCTAATATCCCCTCCCTCATGCATATTTAATGGACTTCATGAATCTTTAGGAAGGCAGACTGCCACGCTGCTTCTCCATCAGAACAAAAACTCACTCCCCGGAAGTCAAAGCTGACTCACAGGACGCTGCAGGACAGAGAAGCACTGGCCCTGTGGGTGCCTGAGCCATGGTCACTCGGAAAAACCTCCTCTCTCCTCCAAGGAGTAGCTGGTGGTTTCTAACTGCTGACTTTGCAGTTAGCAGCCCAATACAGAAGCCACTATGCCCCCAGGGTCCCCTTTCCAGGAGAAAGTGGCTGGTCTCCCTCAGTGAGCAAGACGTGAATAGCCACACCACCACCAGGGCTCCTTCTGATGGGACTCCGTTGCCCCATCTGTCATAGCAACTTTAATGCTTCTAAAATGCGGCCCTAGCTTCAGAACCTGCTTTTACTACTTTTCTGATTCTCAGCCCTCACCATCCTTTAATCCTCTTGTAACGCTACTGTAAATGCCATCAGAATTCATAGTGCGAATACTAAAAACCACTCCCCTCTTGAGTTAAAATTGTCAGGTTGTTTCTTCAGGCGCGCTGGCCTGATGAGGGCTCATCAAAACTCAATTTCACGTCCATCAAGTGGAGTCAGACTCATGGTGACCTTGTAGGACAGAGAACTGCCCCTGTAAGTTTTCGAGACTGTAACTCTTGATGGAAGTAGAAAGCCTTGTCTTTCTCCCGTGGAGCAGCTGATGGGTTTGAACTGCTGACCTTGAAGTTAGAAGCCCAATGGAATTGGGAGCTCAGCACACTAGTTCCTGGTTGCCGTCAGTTCAGTTAATGTGCGCTGTGGAGATTCAGGGAAGAACTGATAAACTGTTAGCCCGCAATCAACAGTGCCCAGTGTCTGATATGACCCTCAGGTGCAGAACACCTTGCTGTGGCGTGGAGATGATGTTGGGCCTCGACTTCCCTCAAAAGAACCTGGGCTTAATGATATGGACCACAGGAAACTGCACAGGTTTCTCCGAAAGAACAACGTCATCAAATTTAAGGGGGAAAATATGCCCCTTGCACTGGGCTGGACGGGTGTGTGGGGGCAGGGGCAGGGGTTCCTAGAGTTAGACTGGCCAATCAGAGGCTGCTACTGAAATTGAGATTTGAGGTGAGAGCTCTGGGTTTGGTGGCAGGACAAGGATGCAGACATTTTGAGAGAAAACCCCATAGAATTTGGTGACAAAGCAGATGGGAAGATTAAGGAGCAGAAGTGATAAAACACTGAGCATTTTGAGCTGGCCTGGGAGGGGGGGGCAGGGGGGGGCGCAGGGAGGCAGCACCACAGGCAACAAGGAAGCCAGAGAAGGGAAGTCGCCTTTTCGGGCGCAGGGGATACAGTTGGCTCCGATGTGGTGAATTTGAAGTAATGCTAAGAATTCAAGCCAAAAAGTTCAGTGGAAAGTTGCAAGCCATATACACCAGGGCACACTTACAATTACTTACATGAGTTTTTATTATCAAATATTTCAAATACATCAAATATAGACCAAATATTAATAAACTACCATGTTCCCATCACCTGGTTTCAATAATGATCTTTTTTTAAATTAATAAATCATTTTATCAGGGGGGTCTTACAGCTCTAATAACAATCCATACATCAACTGTATAATTGTATCAAACACATTTGGACATATGCTGCCAACATTTTCAAAACTTTTAAAAATGATCTTGACCAATATTGTTCCATCCATAATTGCCCTCCCTTAACTCCACCCACCCATACCCATTACTATTTCCATACAAATTCCAGACATAGAGACAGATACTTAAATGTACGAAGCACAGAAGACAGGTTTGAAAAGACGTCAAGGAACCTTAGAGCAAGCCCTTCTTGTTCTATAGGTGAGCAAAGTAAGTAGCGATGACGATGAAGTTGTGGAAACTGAAAAAGCAGAGAACTGGAGGCGGAAGCAGTTCCTGGAGCTTGCCTCTGACAATCTTTCAGCGGAGAGGTCATGAGCCAAAGAAGGATGTTGTGCAAAATTGTCATAAAGCTGAAATTTAGCCAATGAAACACGTCCATATTTCTGTACTTGCTCTTGTTCACCTGTGATTCTTTCAAATTGCACACTCTGCGATGTCCCTCTGGAGCAGGTCCTCTGGGGAATGGCAGAACAGAACTGTGTTTACTTAATTACCATTGGTTGGCTTCCACATTGTGGCCTTAGAGCCACTCAGGTCATCCAAAGCGTGCCTTGGAGACAACAAAGAGTCCTATCTGTCTGGAGTCAGTTTACTTGTGGCTGCCAGCAAAGTCACCTTGGATGACCAGCCACCTTCTGTACCATCACTACCTACATTTATGGAGGGATGTCTGGTATTGAGCATCTGCAACAAGAGGGGGTTGCTGTTCATTCCACACAATATCGCCCATCAAGAGCAGTTTTATCAGAAAAAATGGACTCAGATTTATTAAAGTAAGTGGAACGAATCAGTATGAGTCTCAGTTTAAATATGTGGGAACGTTCTTCGTGAAATATTCTAAGACCACGCACAAATAATGTTAACGTTTTAAAAAACAAACTTGAATTTAAAAATGTGCCTGGTGTTCGGAATATTAATAGAATGACATTGAAATAATCTTAGAGCATTAATGAATATTGTGTCTGAAAGCCACTTATAATTGCAGGCATGAAGGGGTCTGATACGTAAAGCATGTTTGCTTCAATGGGCAATAAAACACAACTTGTGCTCAGCACTTCAGTCATGTAACACAACTACTGGAAGGGGCAAAAGCAATGCCAATGGGTACATGTGGACTCCTTTCTACAGCTAACTACAATGCTGAACTGCACAAGTTTCACAGCAACCTATTACTTAGATGTTTATGAAACTGGTCTAAGATCGCCGTCGGCTCTTCCTTGGAAAGAAGGAAGGAAGGAAAGAAGTGTGCGCACATGCACGTGCCCCGCTTTCTTGCTTACATTCCATGTTCTGTCTCTCGTGAAATGATAGCAGCTTTTTAAAAAAGTAACACCTTTAATTGAAATACACATGTACCTATTAGCAACACTGGGATTCTTTTCGGTTAAGAACTGTGATGCCCTGGTATGTAAAACACCTGAGAAAACCACTGTATTCTAGGACCCTCGGTGACAGGGCAGAGATGTTAGAGAAGGAAGAGGTTATCCAGGGAAGGAAAGAACACGATCTTAAAGGCGAAGAAGCAAAAGGCCTGGGGAAGAAATCAATATGAAATAAAATGTCTAAAAAACAGCAGCACGAGGCCAAGAGTTGAGACACGGAAGAAAAAAATGAAGATTGCTTCAGGAGAAGGCAGGGGAAGGGCTTCTTCAGTAGCTGACTGCTGCCCCGTGAGGAAGTCTCTGGGTGATGCACATAGTGAACGCTCAGCTCCTAGCCCAAAGACTGGAATGCAAGTCCTCCCCGAAGTGCCTTCAACCAGAGCTGATGATCTCCTTCTGAAAACTCGGCAACAGAAAGCCTTACTCTGACACACGGGCACCGGGAGTTGGCACTGACTCCGCGGCAACTGGCTGTCCCCCTGGGTGTTTCAGACAGACGGCGATCCCGAAGCTTCAGAATGAACGTGAAGACCCACGGGTTCTGCTGCTGCTCTCCCCTGCGTCCGGGTGCTGCGTGGAAGGGAAGCTTCACGGAGTGTGCTCAGCAACACAGGAGACAGTTAAAAGGAGGGCAGAGAGACTGGTGTGAAGAGGCCACCAGAAATGACTGAAGGGCAGTGTGAGCACCCGTGGAGGGCTGGGAAATGAATCCGACTGCCAGGAAACTCAGCTAACCAATGAGATGCTGTTCCAGACCAACAGTCATTGGTTTTTATTTAAATATCATCTTCTAGAAATGGGGACTTGCCAAGTTGCCTTATTTCTTAAGTCATTCTAATTTTATTGCTAAACCAGCTTGAGCCTATTGAAAAACTGCTCTTTTCTCTAGTAATTGTAACTAACACTCTTAGGCCTTAAAAGCACTGTGCTAACACTTAACATACTTATTCCTCCTAACCACCTGAGGTTTTACAGAGAAGGAAACCATGGCACAGAGAGGCAATTAAATGTGTCCAAAGTCACATATCTAGTAACTGGAGCTCAGTGGTCCAGGAGAACCTTTCCACTGGCTACCCGACTGCTCAGTCCATCTGCCCTGTGAGGTTAGGGTTAGTCTGTTTAACAACTATGGTCTGAAGGGTCTTTCTTCGATAATCAAGGCCTTTGGTAATTTAAAATCTGATAGAGGTTTTGAAATAGTAAAATCGTACAATTCCTTTTTATCTCTAATACCAATTATGTGCACACATGGTACGGACAATTCAGAGCCATTGGAACAGACCAAAATGGAAGCTTCCCGGGTCTCAGACCACTCCCAAAGGTCATCACTACCAAACTGAGAACAAACCTAGCCTCTAGCTCTGTATTTAAAAAAATATAGAGTTAATTTTACTTTTCAATTTCAAAAGTAGCTCAAAGGTTTGAAAGCACTCATGGCGTAAAGAAATGCCCCTCCTAAAACAAAACAAAAACCTATGGTTCAGGGGATCTGCTTAATATCTTTTGTCCAGCTTCTCATTATTTTACACCTTTCTCTGGCTAGTGGGAGGAAAAACAAACAAACAAACAAAGAATCCCAACCCTCAAACGCACTGCCATGAAGTCTATTCTGATTCACAGTGACCCCGCAGGACAAGGTGCAACTGCCCCCATGGGTTTCAGAGACTGTAACTCCGAAGTAGAAAGCCCCATCCGTTCTCCCTGGAAGAGGCTGCTGACCCTGAGGGTGAGCAGTCCAATGCATGACCACTACTACACCGGGGCTCCTCCCTAGTGGGACAGAGAGCGAATTAATTGTACCCGTCCTCCTACCTTTTACACATGCCCCCCGCTCATCCCCTAAACTGAGCATAAAAAATGTCAGCCTCCAATGTGCCCTCGGCTACAGGGCCCTGCCTCCTTAATAGCTGGCTGGAAACTAAACACACTCTCCACTCAATAGAAACCAAGGGGGGTAGAGGGACCCTCGACTACTATCTTCAGTCTTCATAACGAACCTGTGGCAGGCACCACGCTGGAGTCCTTACGGTTCAGACACCCTTTGGAAACCTCAGGCCTCACCCCCCACTTCGGGTAAAGACCACCCAAACAAACCACCGTCAGATTGCTGGTCTGCCCTTCACCAGCCTCTCGCTCCCTGGAGGAGGATGCCGAGCAATGAAGCTCAAGCGCCCACATCTGCTGACTATCTGAAGTTCCCAAATTTAATGCGACATGTTTTCCAAGACATGAAAGTAAAGGTGGATCAAAGCCAGATACGGATCCATTCCAGTATTTAAAACTGTGCTTGAATTAGCAAAGTCATCTGAATCTAAAACTACAACAGCAAAGTAGCAGTAACATGAGTTGATATTATTTGACACACAGTCCATATTAAATACTAACAAAATTTGAGGGGAAAACAACCCAATCCCCGCCGCCCCCCCAACCATATTTCATATTGATCTTTTACAAGTAGTTCTGACCATTTCTTCTGCTTTCTATCAGTTGTTTTCAATCAGCAATAATCCCAGTGCCAATGGGGCATTAAACAAAATTCCACCCCCACCCCCGAGGCAGACTTCTTCTGTGGAGGTTTCTGGTTCTCAAAGTAGCTCTAAGAAATACTTACTAGGAAAAAAAACCAAAAACATTTTTTTAAAGGCTTCTTTTCAAAAGGAGAAAAACATTCTATTTAGCAATGAATTTTCTAAAGCTGTTTTTAATTTCTGAGAATTAGGAAGTGAAATAAATATAACATTGCTAAAAAAGTCTTCTATTTTGTTAAAGAAAATGATAGCTTCAAAGTTTTCTAGTTCCTGTACATATCCCACTTACTCCTACGTCATACAGTAACAATACACAGAAATTGTGCTAGCAATAAAACTCAAGACTGTTTCAAGGTGGGTGCAACACATCACTTTTGAGAATGACTTCTATCGTGCTTTCTAATGATGTCCATGAGGTCGGCTCCTGTAACCAGGCTGCTCTGGGTCTGGTTAGCTTTCTCCTGCTCTCTTCTCCTCTGGTCATGCAGGTAAGGGGAGTTTAGTAACTGCGGGGGGAGAATGGTTCCTGTGGGCTTTACCCTTTTTGCAACATCCCAGAAAAGTCTTTTGGAATTGTTATTGATGAAGGTAATCGCCGTTCCTCTTTGCCCTAATCGTCCCACTCTTCCAACCTACAAAGAAATGCAAAGCAGATTTTCAAAATATATACAAAATCTTAATGCCTCTTGAAAAGAAACATAGACCATTATTTTAAAAAGTTTTAATAAGATTAACATCAACTGGATTGCCTTTTTCAATCTGTGGATTGAAATATACTTGTGAAATCACTTTAGTGGGGTGCCAACCACCAGTGTATTTTAACAAAATAGAAAATAACAAGTTCTCACATACAGCAAAATTATCTATTGATTACAGAACTTGAGTTTCAGTTATACATCTTTATGGAATTTGGGGGGCAAGAGGGGTGTCATAACATAAAGATTTGCTACTGGGAGCTAACACTGTACGAGAAGAGAATGTTCTGAAATCGACTGCAGCGAGCTATCACCTCACATCCATAGCACGACTGAGGACTCGCACTGCTCGCAGGAACGTGAAACAGTTCAGCCAGCATGGAAAACAGCTTGGGGGGTTCCTCAAGCACTTAAACAAAGAGTTCCCATATGGCCCAGCCACGCTCCTCCCAGATCCATCGCCCAGGAGAAATAAAAAGGCAGAGACGCTCATGCAGACACTTGTATTGGAACGACAGCATTGTGCATCACACCCCAATGTTCATCCATCCATTGATCAATGAATAAAATATGATATGGCTATACCCAGAAACAAAAGGGAAAGATATATATCACAACATGGAAGAACTTTAAAAATAGTAATGTAAATGACAAAACTGCCACAGAAGACATTCGATGAAATACCTGGGACGGGGCATCGACAGAGCCAGAGTGGTGAGTGGTTGTCTCGGCTGGGGGGCTTGGGAGGAATGGAGGGACTGCTAATGGGGGCAGGCTTTCTTCCCAAGCAATGGACATGTTCTAAAATTGATGTTGGCTGATTGCACAGCTGAGGTAGTTAAGTTTATTGTGCCAACCTGGCCGATAAACACATGTGGGGTCAATTGAAAGGCAGAGGGATAAATGGCTCAGTGAGTCTTGCCTTTCTAGTTCTCAGGCCTCTTGTTTTCTGGTGGTCGGACCAGGGCGCAGCTGCCTTAGCAGTTCCCTGCTTCAGCTGGCAAGGCTCACTTCCTGCAGGGCATCCCCGAGGCGAAGCCGCATGGACATACCCGATGCAGCCCTGGGTGCTGGAGCAGCTGTGTGGAGACCCCTGCCAGCGCTGAGATGCTTACACGTTCACTGACTCGGCTTTCCTCCTGCAGTCGGCATCATTGAGTGTGTTGTGTGAGATGGAGGAGGACTTTGTGGATTGGTGTCGGACATATGGGTTAATGTTGGACTTGTGGGCTTTGGCAGCACTGGGTTGGGATGTTTTCTTGATGTGCACTTACCCTTTAAATAAAACTCTCTCTTATACATGAATTTCTGTGGATTTATTTCTCTAAAGTACCCAGACTAATACAACAGCTAAACTCCACTAAGTTGTACACTTTAAATGGAAGAATTGCATAGTTGGTACATGAAGGTTGGTAGATATATTGAGATATAATTTAGATTGAGATTTTAAAAAAATGAGATTTAAAGCTGTTAACAAAAAACTGTAAGTTTCCATTTATGTTGTTTTTTATAGCAAATTAAAAAATGCTGAATTGTCTCCTCAGGAGCTTCCCAAATTAAAAATGGACACATAGGAACATCTATGACAACTTTAAAGAAGCGTTCCTTTGACCCACAGTTCTAGTCTAGTGGCCTGACACCAGGAGCAGAGAGAGGGGGCAGGGATGTCCCTGCGGCACTAGTTAATGGCACTGGAGAGCACATTCATGTGTAAGAACGGGTCTCTTCGATCACCATGCAAAGGGACTGACGGCTTCAGAGAGGACGAGCGAAGTAAAGCATGGCTGCCATGCGGGAAGCACTCGGTGGGTGGTGGCGCTGTTTGTGGCTGTGGTTTTCCAGGCTGTGACCTTTCTGATGCCCCTCTGGTTGGGGTGGCACCACTACACCTTTCAGCTAGGAAGTGAAGGTTTAACAATTAGCGCTAGCCAGGGGCTCCTCCTCAATCCATGTAAGCATCTACTCAGTAATAGCTCTTTATGTACACGGATCAAGAAGGATGTCGAGCATGTCTTTAACAAAGTAAAAGAGCTGGTATGAAACAGTTCCATTTGTGTAAAAAGTATAAAAGGGTATGCACATATGTGCATGGACAGACGTGTTGTTATGGGCCTGCAAGCTGGCGTACGACAGAACGAAGGAAAGCCCGCCTGGCCCTTTGCCACCCTCCCAACTGTTCTCACGTTCGAGCCCGGTGTTGCAGCCTCGCTGAGGGTCTTGTCCTCAACGAGACTCTATGTGCACTCACGTTCTCTCTGGCGTTAACTGGTAACCACTCAGGGTGAGACTGACAAAGGGGAAGGAAAAGGAAGGTATGTTTTGCCTTATGACTCACAAGAACATCATGCTTGGTAACACAGGCCATCGAAAGAGGAGGACCCATGGCGAGATGAGCTGGCACAGGGCTGTAACAGTGGGATTACGCGGTGCAGGACCATCCTGCTTCGTTCTGTTGTACATAGGGTCACTATGGGTCAGAGCAGATTCAACGGCCCCTAACAATAGTCTATGAAAACCAGCAGGAATCGGGGGCTCTTCTGAGTCAAGGTGGGAACCCCTACAGATTTCAAGAATCCCTGAGGCTGTTACTGTCTCAAGTCCTGAAGGCACTGTGGAATATTTAGGGGCAGAGAGCTGACTCTGGGGCTTCACGAAAAGGCCAAATTATTCTCATCAGCAGACACTATTTCAGAAGCAGAAAAGTTAAACTATTGTAATGTGGTACAAAAACCAGCATCCAAAAGGATTAAAACAAACATTTGAAACAATAGCGAGTTACTTGACTACCCAATTCCTGTGGAATACTGTTCCCCAACGTGCACACAAACGAAGTGGCGCATCACGTCGGAGTAAAGAGCACAGCAACAGTGCGTGTAAGGGCTAAAGGCACTTCGGTGGGTGGTTCAGGTGAAGGGGCACGCAGAGGTGACTAAGGACACGGGAGAGAGGCTCTACTTGAAGGGGCTGGAAGGGATGCCGAGGAGGAAGACAGGCCAGTCAGAGATAAGGCGGCGCTCAGAGAAGGCTCGGTTTCTGTTAGAAAGAGGAGCTACTGTTACCGTTGGCCGTAAAGGAAGGGAGCAAACCTTTAACAGGTGAAAGACTAGAACGAATAAGGATAGGAAGAGCAGATGAAGACAAGATTCCTCAAAAAACAAAGAAATACTTTGAAGGATCAATTTTATTTTGGCCAGAAGTATAAAACTTAAAACAATCTCCCTATACAAAGTTCTGTTGTTGTTGATTTTAAGTGTTTTTCCCCCCTTGGTACAAAAGCCATTAATATGCTCATTTATAAGAAAAAGTGAAAGAACATAAAAATAAACCTAAGATTTACTTAAAAAAAAACAAACCACTTTTTTTCCTCCCTTCCCTAGACCCTCTAAATTAACTTAAAAAAAAAATTATTTTACTGGGGGCTCGTACAATTCTTATCACAGTCCATACATCCATCTATTGAGTCAAGCACATATGTACATTTGTTGCCCTCATCAATCTCGAAACATTTGCCCTCTACGTTAGCCCTTAATATCACTTGCTCATAAATTAACTTTTTTGGTTTCTTACCTCCAATCATTTGTCAAAACATTTCAGGAATATATGAAAGTGCTTCAAGAATTGGTTAAAAATATCCCATTATCTTTGCAGTTTCCCAAGAACTTTTGAAGCTCCCTTGTGAGGAGTTTTCAAAAACAAAAGTCAATTTCTAGCCATATGTATTTCAAAGCAGAGATATATAAAGTTCTAGGTCCTATTTTTTTTTTTAATGTTTAAAAACTTTTTTGTTGATAACACCTGACTGGGAAAATCCCTCAGGAACAAAGCAGGGGAAGCGCCTGAAGCCTCCTTACCTGGTGCACGTACTCATCCATGCTGGAAGGCATATCGAAGTTAACAACCAGCTTGACGCTGATCAAGTCCAGGCCTCGCCCCAAGACGCCTGTGCTCACTACAACTTCGTAGTCTCCTTCCAGCAGGCCCTGTACAAAAAAGCCGCAACATCAGCTGCTGCAGAACTGACTGTACATGGCTTCCTTTGGCTCAGCCACCTGTTCTCTGTTCAGTGCCTGAAGAGTAGATGAAGCTTCATCTCTCTCCCTGCCCAGTCACCAAGTGAACCCATTTCAACTCAGGCCAGTACCGTGTGTTTCAGACGGGACTGAGCTCCATTCAAAGCTATGACCTTTTGGAAACAAGCAACTCACCAGACCTTTCTTCCGAGGTGCCTCTGGGTGTGTGCAGACCATCAACTTTTAGGACAGCAATCCAGTGCTTACCTATCTGTGCCACACAGGACTCCCAAGTTCCTCCCAGCCCCACTACCTTTATTCTAGTCATTAACAAGCCTTTTCTAAAGGTAATCTGCTCTGCCCCGGTCTAAACTGACCTGATTTCAGAAATGGTGGGTTCTGGATTAGTAATCTATTCTGAGCACACTCCTCAGAGAACATAGCTGATTGTTCTGAAGGCACAGATGTGTCCCTGAATGAAGCTCCTTGGAGTCAGTAAAACAGGGCCCGCTTTAAAAGCCAGCTGGTAATATGGTGTCTCTTAAAAATGGTGCAGGACATGTTTGCAGGGAAGAGAAAAATATACAATGCTGAACGCCAAACCTTCAGGATGTTCTTCCTTTCGACTTGAGGCTTCTCTGAATGTATGGATATGCTTTTCAGGCCTGTGATTTTCTGAACTGCCTCACTCAACAGGTCTGCCCCGAGTCTGCAGTCCACAAAGACTAACACCGGAGGCTTAAAGAGCTTCTTATCCTGAAAAGTGAAAAATATACATTTGAAATTATTCATGCAGCATGGTTAGTGAGGGAAAGTTTTTCTGATAGCATCTAGAACAAGTTGTTTATCAGTAGGTTTATAAACATCATTGAGGGAAAAGATGTTCTGTCAAAATGAACATTTAAAGAAATATATGATAATTGAAATTAAACCATCTATTGCCCTTTACATGTCTCCAATATTTCATCAGCATTACAAAATTCCTAAATGTTATAAGCAATGCAATTTAAACTGTTCAAAAGTTAACAAAAACCACATACTTAATACTGTATAGTAGACTAACTGTGCTAGGCACATATTGTCCCCTTACGAAGGGTCTGTTCGGGGAGTCTGAGTTAGAACGTCTACTTTCAAGAACAGACTAGTCCAGAGAAACCTTGAGTCCCGTCCCTCCGACTGCACCCCATCCCCGTCATACCCATCACCTTATACAGAAGAACTACTAGAAATTGTTGCAAGAAGAAAAGAATTCTTCTACGTCATGCTTATATGTAAAGGTCTTTTTGTATTAAAGAAAAGGAAAAAAAGGCTGCATTTAAAGAGTATTGCTCACTGTTTTCACACACAGAATGCTGAGCTAGGGCAAGCAATTCATTACGAAACACCTCCACGCAGAGCTGCATCGAAACATCATTCTCTTAAGAGCTACCAAAAATGTAAACCCAATCCACAAAACCGGTGTGGACTGCGCTATGACTCACGTTTAGGATTTCAAATAGTTTTTTCTTTTTGGAGGGTTCTTCTATCCATAAAACAATCTGGCGCACATTGGAGCAAGGCAGGTTCTTTTCTCCCGCGGTTATTCTCACAGGGTTCTGCAGAAGCTGGCCTGCTAGTTGCTCCATGCTAGTTGGAATGGTGGCTGAAACCAAAATGGTCTGACAATCAGTAGGAATGTTTTCCAAAATGTCAAGCACCTGTTGTTGAAAGCCCATCTTTAACATGGTATCAGCCTAAAACAAAACCATCGGAAAGTTAGTTGTGTGGCCTGAGAACCCTGAGCCACCCTAGGAACGACTGGCAGAATTAACAGCAGAAATCTTTACCCAGAAAAATAAGCCACATTGTTAAAAGGCAGGGTGCTAATTGAAAACAACCACATTTACATACAATGATGTACTGTGTAACTATAAATGTTTGGTTTCATTATAAATCACAAGATCTACTGCCAGTGAATTGATTCCAACTGATGGCAACCCTACTGGGCAGAGAAAAACTCACAGTTGTTCATGGCTGTGCATTTTCTAAAAAGCCCTGGTGGTATTGTGGGTTAAGAACTGGGTTGCTAACCACAAAGTCAGTGGTTCAAACCCACCAGTCACTCCTCCAGACAAAGATGGGGGCTGTCTGCTTTAGTAAAGATTGACAATCTCAGAAACTCCAATAGGGTCACAATGAGTCAGAACTGACTTGATGGCAGTAGGCTTTGTTTTTTGTGCAGGTGTATTTTCCAGTTTTCATAATTGATTGAAATATGGGTTGAGACTAGGCTATACTCTTCTAAGTTAAGGTGACCAGATTTTAACATTGGTAAAGCGGGACAAAAGTGGGACACCATTGATAAAACTCATATCCTGGCGAACTAGCCACATGGCAGCCGAAAACCATATACCTTAGTTTGTTGTGCATTCTTTCCAAAAATTGGGACTTTTTTAAAATGCCACAGGATGCGGGAAAAAATGTTAAAAATCGGGACTGTGCCACCAAAAGCGGGACATCTGGTCACCTTATCCTAAGTGCATGTGAGGGGCTTTAAAAAGTTCATGGAAGCTGAAATGGAAAGACAATGGAATTCCTCCACGTACAATTCTTTCCAGCCTGCTCCCAGCTTTTTTTTTCTTATTGTGATGTTGACTTTATTGTAGTGGTCTGGAATGGAACACAGTATCACAGAGGAATGCTGGTATATTTAGCTTTTTAAAAATTATTATTAGTTGGAACTTAATATATATATCGTTCCAAATTCAACCACGTCAAGTAGAACGTACAATTGCTGCCACAGTTTCCAAACATTCTTTTTCTACATGGACTCCTTGACACTGTCTCCAACCCAGTTTTTCTTAGTAATGCCTCCAAGTAGCTCAGTAGATGGCCTTCTCTTAGCTATTAGAAATAAGTCCCCCTATGCGCCCCTTCTCACCCAGATTTTCAGGAAGAGTAGTCTAGGCCTGTCTCCATCCACCCACCACTCTCTCACCTCCACTCTCGGTTCAGTCTCTGGTCCTCACATCACTGCACCTGCTCTCCTTCAGGCTGTCAGCGTCTTCCCAGCTGGCAGATTCAACAGCAGGCTTCATTTTATCTATTTTTGTTGTTTGTTTTTATATATTCTCAAAGACACGAAATTTCCCTAGTTCTAATTGCCTAAACCTGTGTGGGCCTCTGCCACTCCACCCCCATGCCACACTCCAACCTCCTCCAGCAAACACAGGTGGATTTCTGGACCCCAACTCGGTCATAACCCCAAACCATTCCCAGGGCCATCAGGTGCATACCAACTCCCTGTGACCCTACAGGACAGAGTCTCACTGCCCCGTTAAGTATCCAAGGCTGTAATCTTTATGGAGGCAGATGGCTCCCCCACCCCCACCCCCGCCTGGCAGCTTGTGGTTTGAAACCGCTGGCATATATTGGTTAGCAGCTGAGTGCTTAACTACTGTGCCACCATGGTTCCATGAGGGCTGTCACCACTTACAATCCTTGAGCACCCAGGGGAGTCTCGGCTTGAAGGAAGCTTGGGGAAAGCCTGGTGCTTGGGGCTAGGGTCACAGCAGGAAACTCAGCCTGCGCCATAACACAGTAGAGAAAGCAGCCTAAAGTCTCTGTGGAGAAACGTCCGCCGAGCCACCGAGGCGGGTGGAAGGGTCCTCTACACCAAAGGGCAGGCATGCTGGGGGACGCAGAAGGGTGAAAGAGCAGGCTCTTTGAGTCCCAAAGGAGTTGTCTTTTACCCCTTCCATTCCTGACCACTGCTGGGCCTCACTCCTCCCCAGCAGTGTCTTCTCTCCCTCAGGGCTGCCGGCCTCTCCCACGTCCTCCGTCTCTCAGACCTCGTCGTAGGTGTGCAGACTCATCCTCAAGCTCCAGGCCCCCACGCCTCACCCTCAGCTCGCTCCTGCTTTCTAAGCCCTCCCTTGGAGAACCCATGACGGCTCTGATGCACACTTCCTGTGGCCTACAGACGATCTCCTCTTTGACAGCCATTGCTCACGTGGCATTCAAAGCGTCTAAAACCAAACTCAGATGTCATCAGCAAGACCCACGCCTTGCTCAAATGCCCTTTTCTAAACAGTGCAGTACAGCGATTATTGGTGGGGTCCTCCTTCCTTCCAGTAGGTCATCCCAGAGTGCTCGTCAAGTGCTCCCCCACAGGGACGCCCGGTTAGCCCCTCCTCCACTCCAGCTGCCTCCACCCTGCTGGCGTCTGGACAGTCGGTCTCTGTCTCACAGGCCCTTTCTTCTTCCACGTCTCCTGCACAGAGCGGCAGAGCCACCTACCTCCCTAACCCACGGCTTTCAACGTGCTACCGCCGACTCTGTAATTTAGGAAGTCTCCCACACCACATCCCATGTCTGGGTGTCCCTTTCAAGGTCCTCGATCATTTGACCCCACCCTGACTACTCAACTTTACATCCCATCATTTCCTGAGAACTCTGCAGGTTTCTTTTCTGGCTTCTCCCACCCTTCCTCCTGCACGCACGCGCGCACGTACGCACGCTTGACTGCTCTGCTCTGCTTGTTCAAGTCTCCTCACCTGGAATCGTGGGTAAAAACTCTACTTCTCAACCCCACCCCCGCCCAGATCAAAACCCCTTAATTCTGAGAGGCCATTTCTCTCAAGTGCAAGGAAATGGATTCTCTTGTTTCTCTACCCAACATGATTTTTCCTGACCAAAAAGCATTTACCATATATGGGCTCATTATTTGACTTAGAGCTGACATCAGAAGCCAACAAACTATGGATTTGGGGACAAATTCGGCTATCTATTTTTAAAATAAAGTTTATTTAGAACATAGTCACCCCTATTCGTTAGACACTGCCTAAACTGAATTGAGTAGTTGCTACGGAGACCACACAGGCACACGGCCTAACTACCCGATTCTTTCCAGAAAAGGTTGGATGCTTCCTGGCCTCCATCAAACGCATCAGCACTTAATTTTATCTCCACAGGCGATAGCGCTTGCCTTTGTGTCAAGTATACCCGATGTGTCTTTTGTCTCCAATGAGTTTTCAGCACTTTGTAATCTTGAACGGCATTTAAAACTTCTCTGGGAGGCTGACCAAGCCTCCGCAGAGCTGTCACTCTGTGACTACCCGGCTGCTGTGCTGAAATCCAGTTCTGTGCACGGCCGGCGGTGCTGCGGACCAGCTCACTCCTCCAGACCGCGCAGCCAGGACCTGTTCCGCACGGAGGCTGGAAGAGAAGCAGTGCGCTGGGCACGCCCAACAGGCTTGCTGAAGGAATACTGCTTCTCACTACAATGATGAGCACAGCCTGAGGTGACAATGAAAGCTTCATAATTAAAGGAGACAAAAATGATGAAGAGAAGCGAGGGTGGGTGGGAGCTGACTCTAAGTGGCAGATGAAAAGGATTTCTCCGGCCGAAGACGAGAAGAATGTAAGAACACGGGCGTAGCAGCCCAGAGCAGCCCGGTCACACCTTCAAGGAGGCTAAGTCAGAAGTGAATCAGAGCCCGCAAATCAATTCCATCGAAAGGCCATGCCAGGAAAAGCTGATTCCGCAGCCCTTTAGAACAAAAACCTTTGTACTGTGATGTGGATACTCGTTTCTAAAACAAACTGGCTTTCCATTCAGCAATCCATACGCATTTTGATTCATGACACTGATTCACATCCCCGCAATGCAGCAGCCCTCTCCACAGCATCCCTGCGTCTCCCCTGGCCATGCGTGCTTCTTTCCTGCCCGGGCTGCCCTCTGGCCGGATCCCTTTGCTTCGTATGGCTGGTTGTTCTAAGGAGGCTGTCCCCTCTTAGAGCTCACTGCCATTCAGTCGGTCCCCACTCATCGTGGCCCTTGTGAGGGTCTCTGAGGCTTTACGCACTTAGGAGAGCAGAAAAAGCCTCCATCTCTTCCCCACAGCTAGTGAATTCAATCTGCTAACCTTATGGTCAACAGCCAGTGTATAGGCCTATCTATTGTTAGGCTGAAAGAAGACGTGAGGGTCTGCGAGCCACTCTATCTGAGTAAGCCTGGTCTTTTTCTATGATCCTGAGTTATGCTCTCACATTTGTCCCACTAAATCCAGGCTCTCTTATTTTTGGAGAACCAGGCATCATAAACTTCTGGTCTCAGGGATGTGGAGGTGCAGTCCACGGGGCCCCTTAGTCCTCTGGACTAATTGTTTCTATGTATCTTTGATGTTCATCCCTCTTCTTTGCCCAGGTGGGGAGATACTGCTGGCTGCTACAAGCATGGCTGTCACAAGCTTTTAAGACCTCTGTCACTCGTCACCAAGTGGCTGCAGAACACTGTCAGTGTGGGCTAGGCTAGGCCAACTGACCTTGACATCTCCTGAGACTATGGTCTCAGGCCCAGCCACTCCTTCCCTCTGGGTTTGGCTGTCGTTAACAAGGTTTCATAGCTTTGCTCCCTACATGCTCTAGGATATCCGGGGATTTCTATGCAGAACCTAGAAATACCTATGTAGAAATATCCCCAGTCAAAGGAAACTCCATAACTTGCAATTCCACCTTCCCATGAACTTTTTTTTTAATCATTTTATTAGGGGCTCATACAACTCTTACCACAATCCATGCATAAATCAATTGTGTAAAGCACATTTGTACATTCATTGCCCTCATCATTCTCAAAACATTTGCAATCCACTTAAGCCCCTGGCATCAGCTCCTCATTTTCCCCCCTCCCTCATGAACCCTTGATAATTTATAAATTATTATTTTGACATATCTTACACTGTCCGATGTCTCCCTTCACCCATTTTTCTGTTGTCCGTCCCCCAGGGAGGAGGTTATATGTAGATCCTTGTAATTGGTTCCCCTTTTCCACCCCACTCTCCCTCTGCCCTCCCGGAATCGCCACTCCCATGAACTTTCTGAAGCCCTCTCCTACATATGTGTGCATGGAATCCCATAAACCTTTAAAGGCAACACAGGCAAATACTGTTACATACACCCTCCTGAAGTACCAGTAACAACAACAGTGTACTAGCAGATCCATAGATAGATGAACAAGCTACCTGGAGTGCGAAGGCAAGTTAGCAGGCCTTTTAAAAGGACTGAATAATTCTGTTTCATATTTACACATGGCATTTCCGGTTATAAGATATTTTCAGTCATTCCTTTATCCTCACCACAGCTCTGGAAGAATAAATGACTCCCCCAAGACCTCATGGTAGGTGAGATAGTCAAGCCCCAAACGTGTGAGTCTTAACACTCCTCTGGTGCCCAATTACTATTTAAGTAGGGTCCCCATAAGGCAGGCAAGGTTGTTACCACTGGCCAACACTTGGCACCCCACCTTCCGGGCCCTGCTGGGTAACCTGCCCCCTGTGTCTGCGGGACAGATGGGCACTGCAGGCAAGAGGGAAGGACACAGGCCCAGTGCAGGCAGGCTTTCGTAACTCTCCTTGGACTGTTGTAAAATAACACACCTTGTCTTATTATGCAAACTGAAAGCACACAGCGGGTATGCCATGTGTGCACACGTGTATTTTCACACAAAAAGAACAGTAACACTTGGGAGGAGCACGTTCCTCAGAACAATGGAGCCTATAAAACCCAAAAGGCAGCAGAGCTATGGAGGCCAGAGGGGCAGAACACCGGACAACAAAACTGAGGAGCCCAAGGTAGACCCGGAGACTCACGAGACAACCAATGTCGCAGAATAAATTGGCGTGCGTGCATGTGTGCATGTGTATGTGAATTAAATAAAAAGAGCAAATTAATACAGGTCTCCCAACTAAGTTATTTCCAGACATGACACATTTTAAATTCTTCTCACTGAGAATACAGCATCCACCGAGCTTGTGCTTCTGTCAGGAGGAGGAGACAGCGAGAGCTCCGTTGTGGCACATTACATGTCAGTCTGCGCTGCAGTGCTGCCCAGAGGCCAGCCTCAGAACAGTGACAGCAATGAAAAATGATGGCTAAACGGCTGTTTTCTCTTTGGGAGAGAAAATGCCTGGATAACACAACGAAATTATAGAACTACGCACTTTTCACAGAGTATATGCATTTATGTAACCAATTTAGGAAAGAAAAAGACACTACTTACCTCATCTACCACTACGATTTTTACACCGCAGAGATCTACAGAACTCTGTTTTATTATATCCAGGAGACGCCCAGGGGTGGCTATGATAACCTAAATGAAAGATAAAAGCAAAATTCAAAAACATACAAATGATATAATATTCATTCTTTCAGTTAGACGATATTTATTGAATGGCTCTTCCCAGGTGCCAGACACTGTGTTAAGCATTAGGAATTCAACAGTGACTATCAAACATGGTTCCTGATCACTTTATAATACAAACCATTGAGAAATAAATGCTCCTAAGTACAAGATTCCATTAGGACGCCATTTTGGAGGGATCTATCAGGCTCCTGGCAGCACAGAGTCTGAGCCCTCTGCTGGGCACCAAAACGCCAGTGTCCAAGCCACCAGCTGCTCTGCAGGAGAAAGATGTGGCAGGCAGCTCCCACAGAGAGGTCCAGCCTGGGCAAGCTGCAGAGAGGTCCAGCCTGGGCAAGCTGCAGAGAGGTATAGCCTGGGCAACCCACAGAGGGGTACAGCCTGGGCAACCCATAGAGGGGCACAGCCTGGGCAACCCACAGAGGGGTACAGCCTGGGCAGCCCGCAGAGGGGTACAGCCTGGGCAACCTGCAGAGCGGTACAGTCTGGGCAACCTACAGAGGGGTACAGTCTGGGCAACCCCGTGGGGCAGTTCTACTCTGCTCTGTAGGGTTGCTGTAGATCAGAATTAACTTGAAGACACCGGGTGTGGGTTTACGTAGCCTCATAAAAACTCAACTTCTTGGTGAAGGGTTGGCAGCCCCAACCCACCCAGGGGCGCCTTGGAAGGAAGGCTGGCCGATCTCCTTCTGAAAGGCCCAGCCTTGGAAACGGGGTGGAGAGCTCTACTCTGACGCACACAGGCCACGGTGAGTTGTTTTTTGGTTTTTGTCCAGCCCCAACTAACCCTCACCTCATTCAGGCTGAAACCCACAGGCCGAAGAAGAATGAGAAGCGTGCATGAAGAGAGGTCTGTGACAGCTCTGCGGCTGGGCGAGCAGGGAGGCCCGCCGGTGGTGCGGTGTGGGAAGGGCTGTGCGGGCTGCCTGAGCACAATCTAGCTCTGGGAACAAGGGCCCATTCCTTCCCGTCCTTGAGCCTATTACTTCATTTATTAATTAAAAGGCTGTTTTAAGCTATTAATAGTCTTATCATCTATTAGTTGGAATAGTGGTTAAGTGTAAGGGCTGTTTAGTCAGACAAATCTGGGTGGAAAATGTAGCTGTAACATTTAATCATGGCGTCTCTGTTCTCAGTAATGATTGAGAGGAGTAAATGAGAAAGCAGCTGACATAAAAGACAGTAGAGATCAATGAGCTAATGTAGCAGTTCTCAACCTGTGGGTCGCGACCCCTTTGGGGGTCAAACAACCCTTTCACAGGGTTCGCCCGATTCATAACAGTAGCAAAATTACAGTTATGAAGTTGTAACGAAAAAATGTTATGTTTGGGGGTCACCACAATATGAGGAACTGTATTAAAGGGTTGTGGCATTAGGAAGGTTGAGAACCACTGACCTGAGGGATGCCACTGTACTCCACTTTTAAATACACAATAACAGCATGGCAGAACCACTACAAAAGATGCACACTCAGGGTCCTAAGGATCTGGAGCCACGAAACTATTGGATTCTGTTTTTGTCCTTGGGCAATAGCAGAAACCTTTACAATCATCTCCTTACTTTACATTGAACTTATCCCTTGTAGTGCCTCTTTTCCCTCTCCTGGTTTGGAAGCTACATGCTTCCCTCCTCCTCCTCCTCTTTTTTTCAGATTTTGAGAGGCTGAGGGCCAAAGAGGGACTTGGCTGCTGGCTGAGGAGTGGTGTTGGTGTGGACCAAGGCCGGAATCCTTGCCGTCTACTAATCCTGGCTGTGGGACCCTGTTAACTTCCCTAGTAAGACCCCACTGTTGTGAGTCCTGTCTATGAGCTCCGTGTGGCCAGTGTGATCAGGGATTACTGAAGCTCAGGGAAGTCGAGTGTCATGGACGGTACAGCTGGGGTCAGAATCGGGTAAAGCATGATGGAGGGGGGACATGTCTGACCTCTGCCGTGGGGCAGCAGGGAAGCCAGAAGAGGTCAGAGCTGGCTGGTCTCCACATCTTTACACAGGACATATGAGACTTTTATGAGGGATTATTAACAGAGCTAACTGCAATTGTAAAAACCCTGTAATGAGGGGCTAGGTCAAATTTGCCATCTTTTTGTGCATAAAATGAACCATTTCAGACACAAGAAAGTCAGAAGTGGAGGGTGCCCACCAGACTCCAAGATCCTCATTTTGAACTTTCTTTTTCTTTTTTTAATTTAAATAATTTTATTTTAAATCATTTTATCGGGGGCTCTTACAACTCTTATCACAATCCATATATACATCCATTGTGTCAAGCGCATTTGTACATTTGTTTCCCTCTTCATTCTCAAGACATTTGCTTTCTACTTGAGCCCTTGGTATCAGCTCATTTTTTCCCCTCCCTCCCCACTCCCCCCTCCCTCATGAATCCTTGATAATTTATAAATTATTATTATTTTGTCATATCTTACACTGTCTGAAGTCTCCCTGCACCCACTTTTCTGTTGTCCATCCCCCAGGGAGAAGGTTATATGTAGAGCCTTGTAATTGGTTCCCCCTTTCTACCTCTCCTTCCCTCCACCCTCGCGGTATTGCCACTCTCACCACTTGTCCTGAGGGATTTATCTGTCCTGGATTCCTTGTGTTTCCAATTTCTATCTGTACCAGTGTACATCCTCTGGTCTAGCCAGATTTGTAAGGTAGAATTGGGATCATGATGGGGGGGGGGGGAAGCATTTAGGAACTAGAGGAAAGTTGTATGTTTCATCGTTGCTACACTGCACCCTGACTGGCTCGTCTCCTCTCCATGACCCTTCTTGTAAGGATGTCCAGTTGCCTACAGATGGGCTTTGGGTCCCCACTCCGCACTCCCCCTCATTCACAATGATATGATTTTTTGTTCTTTAATGCCTGATACCTGATCCCTTCAACACCTCGTGATCACACAGGCTGGTGTGCTACTTCCATGTGGGCTTTGTTGCTTCTGATGGCCGCTTGTTTACCTTCAAGCCTTTAAGACCCCAGATTCTATATCCAGAGCTAGAGCAGTGAGTTTGTGTGGCCACTGCAGTGATTTATTGAACCTAGCAGAGAAGTAGAGAGTATTGTGGGAGTGCAGCCGTTATATAATCTGGTGTAAATCTTTTACCTGGTAGGTCTGAAGCGTCTACCAGCAGTTAGCAGTCTAATGCTTATCCAACAGTGGCACTAGGGCTTACTGGTCATTTTTGTTGAACCAAAGAATATCCCCCCCACCCAAAAAAAACCCCTCACTGCCATCAAGTCGATGCTGACTCATAGCGACCTCCTGTGGGTTTCCGAGCCTCTGTTTACAGGAATAGAAAGAGCAGCCTTTCTCCCTGAGAGGGGCTGGCGGTATCAAATTGTCAATGATGCGGAGCACATAACACCACTACATGACCAGGGTCCCTCAAGAATGCCCTCAGAAGACAACGTTGGTTCTTTAAACCTCTTGTATGAGAACGTGCAGCTACCTCTCTGTGTGAAGGTGTAGTGGGTTACAGGCTGGGTTGCTAACCACAAGGTCAGCTGCTTGAAACCACCAGCAGTTTCATGGGAAAAAAGATGAGGCTTTCTTACTCCCATAAAGCGGTGCAGTCTCAGAAATCTACCGGGGCAGTTCTACCCTGTCCTGTAGAGTCGCCGTGCGTAGAAATCGACTTGATGTATGGCAGTGAGTCTGAGTTCATTTATCAATGTGAATCAGAGTTTTCTCCATTCTGTTCAAACAAAGTAAGTTTCATGCACAGGCTGATAGGAATCTACAGTTAAAATGCATTAATTACTCCAACTTCAATTTTGATGTCCTTCAAAAATGCTTCCGTTTACGTTAGAAGTACATATTGCTGACCTTGTTTTATTATTAAAACCTATTTTACAGAAGCTTTCTCTGTTTTACACATC